TATAATTTTTATAAGTTGCTCCCTTTTCACTACTGTTAAAGGGATAGTTCACCCAAAAATGAAAATTGTCATCATTTATTCAAGTTTTTCCAAATTCAATCCTTGATTCAAATTTCTCATAAGCTTAATTGATTTGGTTGAAAGAAAGAAGAATTAATGACTATTTTTGTTTGAAAACTACATATAAAATAGCTACCAAAATAAATGTTGGTAACTGCAGTTTGACTAAAATAATGACTAAAATTAATGACTAAAAGTTGACAAAAATGCAATGACTTTTCGTCGACTAAAACTAGAATAAAACTCAAATGACTAAAATGTGACTAAGACTATTAAGCATTTTCGTCTCAAGATAAAGACTAAGACTAAATCAAAAATGCCTGTCAAAATTAACACTGCTGCAGAACTTGTTTTCTAATACATGCACAAATTGCATGGATTCAAACAGCGCTGCATGAACTCGTGGCGCCAGGGTTCAAAGTCCAAAGCGCGAGGAAAATCTGCACTGAAATACTCGTCAGTTGCTCAGTAACATTTTTATAAATTTTTACAAGGCATGTGACAATGCGATACGTGCAACAAACGTCTTCCCAAATTCGTAATGAGAATCATTTATAAATCTGCTGTTGTCAACAAAAAGCACTGAGGTCTTCCTGAGGGTTTCTGCCAAAATAAAAGCTGAGTAAAAGCAAGAACTCCATCAACATTAATAAATGTTGTTATTGTCATTTTTACTGTTGTTCTGTAAAATAAAATTAAAAAGACAATAATAATGATAATAATAACAATTACAACAGCTCTATTAATACATTTATTTTTGCATTCACACAGTGTTCAGGGATCTGTAATATTTTCTAATGTTTTAAAAGAAGTCTCTTCTGCTCAGCAAGGTTGCATTTATTTGTACAGTAAAAAATACATGCCTGATTCAAGAAGGGGGTATCAAAAATGGCCAAAAAATATTATTTTACTAACTTATTAATTTTAAGTAAGGATGCATATGGTATGTATGGTACAGTATGGGCCCGATACTGAGCTCCTGTACTCGTACTCGTTAAAATGCCCCGATACCAAACAGCATGTGATAAGTGCCATATTCAGACAAAGAAATACAGACAACAGACCGTAGATATCTTTAATCTCTAATAACCCCATTCTGCTAAGTATATGTATGCAATGAATATAAAACATTCAGTATTAATGCCTGTATAGCTGATTTGTGCCAGCTGATGAGCAAAGCACGCTGAGTGGATTGAGCGTGCGGCGACGCAGATGCGCGAGCTTATCGAGTGAATATCCCTTTCTCACAGACATCACTGGAAAGTTTGTAGTTCGGTCGGATATGTCAAAAAGATGTAAGTAAAACAATGCACAAGTTAATTAATGTTTGGGAGGGAGGGAGAGAAAAAGAGAGAGAGCGCACACTTCTGTTGTGTGATCTTTATTGATGTTCGCTCACTTAGCACGCATCATTTGGATTAAAACTAAATCATAAATATAAGACAGTTTATAGGGGCATTCACTATAAACGTCATTTATTTTCACCCTTAAGCATACATGACTTTCTGGCGAAAGTGAAACTAACAGCCTGTGTGAAATGCGCATGGCTGTATTGTACTTGTCCCTCTCATTCTGCACCAGTACAAATGCTTGCTTCATGAGTGTTTCTGCATTATATGAGTGGCTTTGGAAAATAAATCGCTGCACGTTTCAGATGAATAAAAACACGACTTCTATTTATTAAAATGTCACAGTTAGGAGATTTATAGTGAGTGGTTCCCTGCATTTTTACAGCAAATCACGTGATTACAGTATACTAAGCCGCTGCAATGGAGCAGCTCTAATGCTATTAAATTAAAGATGATGTAGGCTACCATAGAGAGAGAAAAAATGAACAGTGAAAGTAATGTCATTTTATTACCATTTTCTAAACTATACCAAATAAACTGTGATAATGTGAGAAATGTTGAAGGTGTCTGAATACATTTTGGTTTGACTATCTATTTGATAAATAAAGTTAATCAACTAACATTATACATACTATTTTGGTTTCTGTACCCAATATTTAAAAACTTTACAAATGCAATGAAAATACTGGTATCGGTACTCGGTATCGGCAAGTAAAAAAATAAATAAAAGTATCGGTATCGGGTGAGTACTGAAAAAAGTGGTATCGGTGCATCCCTAATTTTAAGTTAAATTGTGTTTTATTGATGTCTGCTAGAATGTTAAAAAAATGTTCAGTGTTAAGTAAATATTTTAAAGCACATTTTGGCTATTTAATTTATGCAATGGTGAAAAAAAAAGGCAAAATAGGGTGGAAAAATGCAAAAAAACGTGTTCGGTATACGGCCTTCGGCCCAGTGTTTCATTTTGTTCGGCTTCGGCCAAGAATTTTCATTTCGGTGCATCCCTAGTTTAGAGTCCCAGCCTCAGAGGAGACAAGCAGTGGATTTATTGATGTATTTACTGTATATTGCTGCTGCCACACAGATCTAAAATAAACATTTTATTTCCCAGCTGTTTACCTTAACAGACATAACCGACTGTTTTTGTAACTCATGTGTGTTTTTAATGTAAACTTGTGTGTGAATGAGAACTTAGTTCAGTACTCACATGCCGTGTGACAGCCGCTTTCTGTGCACTTGCTCTCAGAAAACCTTATATCAGAATTTTAAACTGATATGGCTTTAAAACGCATGATTTCAGCACAACAGACATGATAATCAGAACCAAAACAGATGTTTTTAGCAGGTACGCTCTGTAATGGAGCAGCTCTATTCTGGAAAAGAGGGCGGGGAGCAGCAGATCATTTGCATTTAAAGAGACATGCCTGAAAACAGCCTGTTTCTGATTCCCTTCAAAATAGGCATTTTCAAAATGATTTAATAAATGATCCGTGTGGTATTTTGAGCTGAAACTTCACAGACACATTCTGGGGACACCTGAGACTTATATTACATATTGTAAAAAGAGGCATAATATGTCTCTTTTAAAGAGACTAGCCATAGGTTTGTTCGATTCTGTGAAACAGATTTCAAATTCTAGCATAAATAACTACTCTGCTTCTGACTGCTCATCTGGATGGCATGTTACTGTGTGAGTTGTGTACATATTGCTGGAGTTAAAATAACCGAAAATAATAAATTTGTTCTACTCACATCTCTGCTCAAAACAATACACCTTTCAAATGCTCTTCAGCAGTCATGTGGCAGGCAGGAGAGGAAGGAAGGATATAGAAAAAAATTGACCAACAAGTCCGTGTGCCTTTGTAACAGTTCTCTCCCTCCAAACAGAGTGTCAGAGAGAGAGGAAAAGATAAGGTGTTTGTTGTTCTGGCGATTAAGGAGCATGTGATGTCTGCATGGTGAAAATCAAGTTCCTGCTGATAGACCGTCAGCTGAAGAGAGGGCAGAACTTGGCACATTTTATTGGCTGAGAAA